TCGTCGGTAGTTCGTCAGAATTACAGTCTCTCGGAATTCGTCGGAATTCGTCGGAAATTGTCACGGATTTCCGACGAAATTTTTTTTTCCGACAAAATGATACCGACGAACAACTTCGTCACAGTTTCGTCGGAATACGCGTATTCCGACGGATTTCCGACGGTTTTGGCCGTCGGTATCCTGCTGTTTTCTTGTAGTGCATCTAACTTAATTAGTTTTTTATAAGGCCAAGACAAGATAATCTTAAAATGATTTGCTCATAAAAACTCATGAGTACCAATAAATTTAGAGCATTTAATCAGGCCAAAAGTAACTTTAAGTAGGTTAGACGTTCTTTCTTTTTAAATGATGAAATAATGGTAGAATAAAATAATATATGAATTTATCAAAAAAAAAAAAAATATATGATGAAATAAAAATGTAAATTTGTTTGGAATTAAGTCATCGGAATTCGGCGACAAGTTTCCGAGAGTTGGTTCCGAAAAGTTCCCGAGAACACTTGATGTTGCTTTTTCCGAGATACCATGATTACCGAGAGTCAAACTCCGACAAGCTTGCAGTCGTCGGAAAATGGCCTGAGTACCTTGTTACCGACTATTCTCTGTTAATAATGGTATAGTAGGAGTTGGACCTTTATTCATGTAGTGTGTACCACCTGGTAACATTGATATGAGCATACCATGCCTTCAGATCAACCACACAATTTGAAAGTATCATGTGTTCAAGTTGATCATTATTAGATTTACTAGGTCGTTTGTTTGAAATTCCATTAAGAAAAATTTAGAAAGATATTGCACGATTTAGCTCGTTCGCATTGCCAATAAATAATTCCGACCTGATAGACTCTTTTGCTGGCAACCTGAGCCAGATGAGAAATTGGACATGACAACTCCATTTAACCATATATTATGATTAACCACATGTGTAGTGGTTTAGTAGTGGTAAGGATATATAATTAGTTTTTAGAGAGGATTATGGTTTAAATCATAATATCTAAATGTATGGGTAGTGGTTTAGTAGTGGTAACCCAAAACAATTACTTTTTTTTTTGGAGGATTATTGTTTTAGTCAGAAGATCTAAATCTCAAGTTCGGATATTGAGGGAGACTATGAATTCAATGCCCAAAAATAGACTATATAATTTTATTTTCTTATATTTATAAAATTGGGAATCAAATTACTATTTGTATAAATGTTTTTTTTTTCTAAGAACAGTAAGTATAATAGACATATAAATAAGTTTATATGTAGTCAACAGAAACACATAAAACCTTTATACGATTAAGATATTCCATAAAACCTCTTCTACACATTCGTTCCTCAAATATTTTATAGCAACAATTGTACCATGGGTTTACAAAAAATATATGTATAGTCTACCTTAATCGATGGAAACCCACGTTCTAACGCGTAGAGACTCGAAGCGTTATTTACTAATTGTTTTTGCTCTCTATATTCATTTGAATAATTAGCACGTTATAAAGTTTATATAAAATGTGAAATAACGTGGAAACTTTTACTATATAAGCTCACTCTTAGCAACGAGCATAATCACCAAAAACAACAATCTCATCTAGAGAGACAAAAACAGTAAATTCAAAAGCTATTTGCAAGAAATATGGCAAACGACAGCATCGTTGACTGGCAGTTCAGCGGTAACGAAGAGGCCAAAGAGGCCGCAGGTGCGGCGCTAAGCGCTTACTCCTCTAAGCTCTTTGCTCTTTGCGATCCTAATGGACCGCCCATTTTGCCTCCTCGAGTTGAAACCGCTGAGACTAGCCATACCGCTGAAAAGGCTGTTGTATATTCCGTCCTCTGCGGATTAGGAAACGCCTATGCTCCCAGTATAGGCCTTCCAGCTGCCAAAAAGTAATTTATACACTAAAGTTGTTTATCATTTTTATACATTTTCTTTTTACTTTTTAACAAATAATGTCATGTAATATTTTTTGCTTTTCTCAGAGCTGTAGCGGAATACCTAAACCGAGATCTTCCGAACAAACTGACAGCTAATGACGTTTTTATGACCGTTGGATGCAAACAAGCCATCGAGCTTGCGGTTGATATCCTGGCCAAACCAAATGCCAACGTCTTGCTTCCTAGACCAGGCTTCCCATGGGACATGGTCCGTTCCCTCTACCAGAAACTTGAGGTCCGCAAATACGACTTCGTCCCCGAAAGGGACTATGAGATTGACCTTGAAAGCGTCCGAGCGCAAGTGGATGAGAACACGTTTGCGATATTTATAATTAACCCGCACAATCCCATTGGGAACATTTATTCTGAAGCTCATCTCAAGCAGGTATTTTTACATATTAAATCTAATTAACAATAAAAGTATACACATCACATGACCTTATGTTCTAATCTTTTGACTGCATGTAATGAATTTTAGATCGCTGAGTTGGCTCGGGAACTCAAGATAATGGTGGTTTCTGACGAAGTGTTTCGATGGACCGTGTTTGGGAGTAAGCCCTTTGTTCCCATGGCGAAATTCTCGTCTATTGTACCGGTGGTTACCCTCGGGTCGATATCGAAGGGATGGACTGTCCCCGGATGGCGTACTGGCTGGGTATCCCTGCACGACCTAGATGGTGCCTTTAGAAACACCAAGGTCCGGTCTATTTTTCTCGACCACTAGCTCTTTAATTAGGATATATACATCATATGTATCATAAAATTACTATGTACTATGTTTGATATTAAGAATTTAAGAGTTAGACATTTTCATTCTAGCTAACGTTTTGGCCAAACTTTGTTATATATGGACAGGTCGTAGATGCTGCAAAACAATTCCTTGAGATTAATTCTAAACCACCAACTGTGATCCAGGTACAAGACTTTCTATTTTCGTTTGGGACACTTATTGTAACCAGATAAAATAATATGTACGTAACGGACTATTCCACTTATTGTCATATGGCAAATTTATCGAATTTTCATCATGTAGGCGGCTATTCCCACCATCTTGGAGGATACTCCTGAAGATTTTTTCATTAGGAGGCAGAAATATCTGAAAGATAAAGCCGATTATGCATATACTTTTGTGAAGAGCATACCTTGCCTCACCTGCTACCAGAAAACTGAAGCATGCACCTTCTTATGGGTATTCTATCATTACTATATCTCTCTATCGCTTCTAGGTTCTAGTTATTTCAAACTATAGTTATACTATTGCAAATTTGAAAGTAGTACTCTAATCTATGCTTTCTAACAAAATAAGACCCTAATTTTGTAGACAAAATTCCCAAAAAAATGAAAAGCCTAGTGTGAAGGCACTCTAAACACATAAATTTAACATTAAACTTTTGTTTCTTTTCTTTCTCGCAGACCGAGCTGAACATATCATGCTTTAAGGACATTAAAGATGCTGAAGACTTCTGTGAAAAGCTTGCTTCTGAGAAAAACCTCGTCCTTTTACCAGGTATTAATCAACATCACTATGTCGAAGGTTTAACATTAATTAAATATTTTTTGTGATAACTTTAACATAAACATATATATGTCGTGTGCTGGATTGGTTTAGGGAAAGCTTTTGGTGTGACGAACTGGGTGAGGCACTCTATCGACATGGATAGTGCAACTTTGCAGGATGCATTTGGAAGATTGAAGAGCTTTTGTATAAGCCACTCCAACACTGGTGAAGCATCCCTCGAAGACGTCAATGGGGTCAACTAAAAGATCTATATGTACCTTTTGCTGTGTCATTTTTATATGCTTTAATAATAAAAGGGTGTTCTATTGATTTGTGATAAGTCATAAACACTTTCAATGTTCAAAAAAAAAGTCAAACATTTTCGTATTTGTAACAAATAATTTGGTGCACTAGTCATGTAATGTTTTCTCACTGTTTGCACTATTTTAATGTATTTTGATTTTTAAAATAAAGTTAATGAATTCCAATGTCTTTTCATTTGAAATAATTTGGACTATGCATGGTTTCAAATTATATTATACTAGTAAATCCCCTATATATTAATTGAGAAACATTTGAAAAGATGTAACCTCAAGTTTGTATTAATTAAAAAGTAACCTTGCTTAGTTGTCAATCAATTAGCATATCAATTAAACTGACGTGGCGGCTTTATGTTCAATTGAAATTTGCTAGGGAAAAATAATTAGAGACGCATATAACGCATGTAACATAGTTTATATATTTANAGAGTAATAGTTAAATTTATATGCATACGCCAATTTGTTACATAATAGTAATTGATTTCTTAGTTATTTAATATATATATATTTATTATTTTATTATTTATAATATGCAGAAAAATATAAAATAAATAATAAATATAAAATACTTATTGTGCATAAAGTGCAGATCTTAACCTAAGTATTTATCTGTTTAATTATTTTATAACTTAAATATTTTCTAAATTTCAGGTCAAAACAAACAAACGAAATGAGAATAAAATTCAAAATAAATATTTATATCGAGTAATAACCAAAATATAAAAAAAAACATAGCAAGAGAAAAATGGAAGATAAATAGGATTGACACGTGAACGTGAACTTCTCATAACTGGAAGATAAATAGAATTGACACGTGAACGTAAACTTCTCATAACCATAATTAATTTTTAAATTGTTAAATCATGATATAAAACTGAGTTAATTTTTAATTTGTTAACTTTTAATTTTTTTAATTTTTTAAATCATTATGGCTATGCTAAATCATGACAATAATTAATTTTAAATTGTTTATTTGTATTCAAAAAACTTAAAATATTGCTTTTAAAAATAATTTTAAATTTAACATAATTTTTTAGAAAATTATTTTTAAAAAATATAATTTTTTAAAAATATAATTTTCTAATATTATTAGACAAATAAATAAATTAGATTAAATTAGTTTAGAAACTTTATATATTTTAATTGCAAATATTTTACCAATTGCTTCTTTAAAAACATTAGGGAACTTGCTATACTCTACCAATCAAGCCCAGTGACACTCCATTTATTTTCCATCACTCGAACACTGAAAAGTAAAAAGATATATGAAATCAGATCCATTAAATTCTAAGATTTGATTTACATTTCTAATTAAAATTGTTTTTGATCATACGTATAGATAATTATATAAAAATTCCAAAATTCTAAAATTTCAAATACATACAAAAACAATCATATGTAAATTTTAAATTTGTGAATATTAAAATTTTATATTTTAATTACATATATTCACTCTGCGCAAGGCGCAGGTCTTATCCTAGTTAATATTATTCTCGAAGTTCTTCAAAATACATAGGTGATAGGTTGGGTCGTATAGCTCAAAAAGCATGTTGAATAAGGACTGAATATTTATTGTCAAGACCACTTCCTAACCTGGACCAATCTGCCGGTGTAGAGAGATTCAAATCAGGTTCTAATAACTTTTAGCGTAAGGTTGGATGTCTAGTGTATGCATATGATACAATAATTTATACCTTTCTTTTCTTATTTTCAAGTTTAAGCGTTTCTGATAACTTAGAGCATAAGCAAGGGAAAAAATATATTGCCAAACTTTTATTCATTTTACTTATGTTGTCTCTGACTGTTGTGTACTGAAAAAATAATATTAGAGAGATTACGGGTTGACCTGCTGCAATATGCATTTGATAGTAGTTTACCAATCTAAATGCTATTACTACGTTTATATTACGTTTTTACGAATATACCAAGTCGTGCTTTAAATCTAGAAAAAACACAAAGTGTATTAGCCTGAGTATAATTTTGACATTTTTAATACTACGTCGTTTTGGTACTTTTTTGATTAGTGTAAGACACATATTTTAAAAATAATCTAAGTATTAAAATAATATAGTATTGAAAAATGTCAAAATTATACACAAATAAATATACATATATATGGTAGAGGTTTATATTACAGGTTAACTATCATTTGATGGATTGACCAATGAGTTTTTGGGATTATAGATAAAATTACAAAAATAAATGACCTTGAGGTATTTTTTAGCACAAAATCCCATGATTTAATAAATGAATGTTGAAAAGGTTCAAAGCTTCACTGACACATTCCAGCTTTGTTTGGAATTTACTATCTCTGCTTCTCTTGAAAAATTATCTTGTAAATTTATGTTGCAATTATGATTTATGATTTCTACTATAAAGATGATGCTTAATTCCTTCTTTTAGTTTTAACGAAACAAGTTGAGTTAATAAATTATGTTGAGTGACCCCAGTGTATAATTGACCAAACACGATAATTTATAGGCATTAATATTCTCGATATACTATTGAAAATATTAATGCCTATAATATGTTGTTCCGAAACAACAATTTTCTACAAATATGAAAAAGAGCTGATTTCTTTGTACAAAAAAGAAGAAGAGTTTAAAAAGAGAGAGAGATGATTTCTAATCGGCCAATAACAAAGAGGGAAATAACAAAAAAAAAACGAAAACATGGGTGATTTTCCTCCTCTCTTCGCTGGACGCCTGGACGGAGACAAAAAACGTACGTGGGAATCTTTGCTTCTTCTTTGATGCTGATGAGTAATCGACAGAATCATTTTGTTTCTTCTACACATACGATAAGTCGATAAAGGAGAATGCGACTCTACAAGGGTTTGTTGGACCATGCATTCTAGGGTTAACTCTATTATGAGACTCAAAATAATTGAAAGAAGACAAAGACTATAGAGACATATTACACATGCATTATTTTCTTATATCCTCTATTTTCATTTTAATATCCCACGTGAGATACCAAATTAATATCAATGTGAAAAACATTGGCAAAAAAAGTAGTTAGAACTCTCACTATATATTCCAGCTCGTAGCAATGAGAGTAAATCATCCAAAGCAAAAATCTAAATAGAAAGAAAGAAGTAAGAAATGGCTACAACCCAAAAGTGCAATGAGTGGCAATTCAGCGGGAGCGAGGCGGCCAAAGAAGCTGCTGCTGCCACCCTAGGCGCCTACAGCTCTGCACTATATGCTCTCTGTGATGATTCTAATGGCAAGCCCATTTTCCCCCCGAGTAACAAGATCGTCGAGACCAGCCATTCAGCCGAAAGAGCTGTCGTTAAGGTTGTTCTCACCGGCACGGGGAACGCCTATGCTCCTAGTGTTGGCCTTCCCATTGCCAGAAGGTAATAAATATCTTGCGACTCTTAATTGTGAATTAATATATATATACTCTTAATTGTAATAATCTTTTAAATAAAATTCTTACAAAATTATTTATGGCTTCCAAAATTTCAAAATTATAGTTTTGCACTTTAACTCTATTAGGTCTGGTATAATTTCTAAGCCGCATCATTTTTTTTTTCTTTATTAGTGCCGTAGCAGAGTATCTAAACCGAGATCTTCCAAAGAAGCTAACACCAGGTGACGTGTATATGACTGTTGGATGCAAACGAGCAATTGACCTTGCGGTGGATATTTTGGCTAAACCAAAAGCCAACGTTTTGCTTCCGAGGCCTGGCTTCCCATGGGATATAGTCCGCTCCATCTACAAGAACCTTGAGGTCCGTTACTATGATTTCATCCCTGAAAAGAACTTTGAGATCGACTTCGAAAGCGTCAAAAAGGTGACAGACAAGAACACTTTTGCGATATTTATAATCAACCCTCACAATCCCAATGGAAACACCTACTCTGAGGCTCATCTCAAACAGGTACTTATAAATATAGAGTCTCTCTTTAGTCTTATAATTAACTAAACTACTGAAACATTTTCACATTTCTTTTGATAAAAATGTAAAGTTGTCATCTAACTTGTTTCTTGTGTACTGAACCTCAGCTAGCTGAGTTGGCTAAGGAACTCTCGATAATGGTGGTCTCTGATGAAGTTTTTAGATGGACCGTCTTCGGGAATAACCCTTTTGTTCCGATGGGGAAGTTCTCTTCCATTGTACCAGTGGTTACACTAGGATCCTTATCTAAGGGGTGGACGGTCCCAGGATGGCGAACTGGCTGGGTTGCACTGCACGATCTAGATGGTGTCTTCAAAAACACTAAGGTCCATCCATTTTAGAACTATTGCATATATATTAAGTTCCCATACACTATAATATTTGATAACTAAAGCTTTATATTTTTGCCTTTAACCTTAATTTTTGACCTAACCCTTTTGTTATATGTGGACAGATAGTACAAGCTGCCAATGACTTTATGCAGATAAATGCTAAACCTCCGACAATTATTCAGGTAAGAACGTTCTCGACGTCGGTAAATTTGGGTTATTCTCTTACTCTTATTGTAAGAGTAAACAAAATATTTAACTATGCGGTATTTTATTTAATGTTAATGCATATATATATAGGCGGCTATGTCTGACATTTTGGAGAGAACTCCAAATTATTTCTTCGTTGAGAGGGGAAATTATCTGAAACATAAAGTAGAAATTGGATATTCTAAGGTCAAACACATACCTGGCCTCACTTGTTACATGAAACCCGAAGCGTGCACCTTTTTATGGGTATTCTATTATTATTTACTACATTTTTAACACAGTTTTTTTATCTTCTTTTATTTTGAGATGTCAACAATCTTGACATTGAACATTATTACGCAGACCAAGCTGGATATCTCGTGCTTTGCTGACATTGAAGACGATGAAGACTTCTGCAGGAAGCTTGCTGTGGAAGAAAATCTCGTCGTTTTGCCAGGTGCAAAAATGTTCAAATCCCTTTGCATAATATATAATACAAGTTTTTCATGTTTTAACAATACAACATGTGTGTTGAATTGGTTAGGAATTGCATTTAGTCAGAAGAACTGGTTGAGGCACTCTATCGACATGGACACGCAAACACTTGAGGAAGCATTTGAAAGATTGAAGAGCTTCTGTGAACGCTATTTTACTGAAAGTGGAGCTCCACGCAAAAACGTCAATGGCGTCAACTAAAGGGTCAATATGATGATCTTTGCATAAGTCTATTTGCATGTGTTATAATAATAAATGGGTGTTTTCGTTAATGTGAGGTAAATCATGAACGCTTTCGTATTTGTAATAAATAAAATTGATGTACTTATCATCAATCGTGGAATGTATTCTCATTATGTATCTACTTTTCGGAATTATAAAAAATTAATAACAATTTCTGTTTTTGTTTTAGATAGTTTGGTATGCACGCACATCGATTTCTATGTTGACCTGTTGCCGTATTTTTTTCTTTTACGACTTGGGTCGTTTGACTTGTGACGTATAGCATGTTGAATCGGATTTGGACTGGATAATTATAAGCCAAGATAAAACTGTAAAAACCCCAACGAACATTGTTGAGAACATTAGATTAATTCTTATGTCATCGTTTGTCATATCATACAAAGTAAAGAAAAAGATATAAGATCTCCAAACATGTCCAAAAAGATAGGATCTAAATCACAACTGTATTAAAGTTGTATTTTGTTGTTAATGTTTTCCTTCATTTTTTCCTTCATTTTTTTCTTTCTAGAAAGGTATAACTTCCTATCAAAATCAGTTTTACTTTTCATTAAGAAGAAGAAAAAAAAGGGAACAATTGAAAATTACTCATTTCATTCTGCTAAGTAATCATCAAAGCCAAGAAGTTAGAAGCTTCACGCACTAAAATCAACTCTTTCCACTTTCTTCTCGTTTTCTAAGTCAATAGCCAAACACCAAACGGGTCTTCCGGACAATCTTTACATGAGTCCGTTGCAACTTAGGACATACTATAAACTGGTTTTTGTTTTACATATATGGTAACACATATTCCTCCTTTTAAATTAAATAAAAATAAACACAAATAAAACCAACCAACTAACAACCGATCCTGAGATTTAAGAAATTTATAACAATTACAGATGATTTTCACATATATGATTTAGATGGTTTGGTTACTTTGGTAACCGGATGATCTATACATATTAACTACTTAAAATTTGGAAGTTAATACCGGATGTTTCTTTAGGCTATCCTAAAAACCGGCCTTTGAAATCAACATCCAAGATTAGAATTTAGAAGCTTCACATCACTAAAATCAACTCATCATCCCACTTGACACTCCGTTTTACAAGTCAAGAGTCAAAACGTATCCATCTTCCTTGCAACTACGTTCAAGAAAACTTACATCTCCATTGCAAATCACACAATATAAGATAACCATATTGTTAATTCCAAAATCTTCAATTTTTTTTTTCCTTTTTTACAAATACAATACAAAGTTTTGAGCTAGCCATGACAGAGTTTAACGGAGAGGATCAAGCTAAGCCTTTAGCCCCACTTTATCTCACTCCCCGTAGCGACCAACCCGACAAAGATCAATACCAAGACCGAACCAAACAACACATCCACCAACACACTCGGACCAAACTCATATTATTCTGTGGTTTCATCGCATCTTTAACCACACTCATCGCAGTCACTTTCATCGTCCTCTCTCTCACAATCTTCCATCTCCACAATCCTAAGCTCACCGTAACTTCCATCTCCCTCATCCAACCGCTAGATATCATCAACGGTAAAGTCAACACGACAAGAAACGCTACCGTTGCAGTGGATATCTCGTTACATAATCCAAACCCGGCTGTGTTTAAAGTTCAAAACCTTACGGTTTTGTTTTACCACGATGAACTGGTGGTAGTGGTTGGGGAGAGTACTATAAGAAGTGAAACTATTCCGGCGAAACGGACTGTTGAGATGAATCTGACGGTAGAGATTGATACGAGAAAGCTACTAGCATCTGTTCCAGGTTTAATGGAGGATTTTAACGGAAGTGTGGTGTTGAGAAACAGAGTTGTGGTTAATGGTAAAGTGAAGATGATCAAGATTTTCAAGAAATCAGTTCAGCTTCATACAGATTGTGAAGTGACGATGATGATGATTAACAATTCATCAAAGCCAGCTTTTGACTGTAATAGGACAAGAAACACTTACGAACATATTCGAAACTGAAAGATCAAATTATTTTGTGTTAGGTTCCATTTCTACTCTTATTTATAAATGTCTGTAAATAAACTTGTTCACATGTAAAAAAAAAAAAGAAAGATGAATTGTAGAATCAAAAGACATTTTGGTTTGCACCGGTTGATATGATTCACTCACAGGTTTTATTTCTTTGCTTCTTTCTTTGGTTGGTCCTTCTTTGGCTGGTCTTTTTGTTGGTCACTGACACGTCCTCCAGCGATCTTAACAACTGGTTCGTCTTTAGACTTTATTAGCTTTAGCGCTGGATGAACTTTGAGGTCTCCAGTTAATAGCTTTTGTCCAACGTCCAAGTGGCTGAGATCTACTTCTATATATGGAGGGATTATCTCTGCCGGACATAGGAACTTAACCGTTCTTTTGATCGTATTAAGAGATGCTCCTGCAGACACAGACAAGAAAAATGGTGATCAATAGGAAACGTAACAAGAACTAAATGCTGCAATCGAATGAAACTAAAAACTAATGGGGAATGAAACTAGCTGAACTGCTATACAAACCACTAAACAAAGCTAAAGGTCATTTTATACAAAGATATATCATGCAATATGGCAATCAAAACCTAAGTCATCAAACACAATGGCACATAGATTTCTACTTGCTCGAGTTAAAGTCTCTTTTTAAAGCATCAATTGTTGTCGCCAAAGCTTAGCTCACTCTGATTCAAGAAAGAGATTGACTAAAACAAGTGCAGTATCACTTCTCTACAGACTTAGAAGCTTAATAAACTCCAATCAAGTCAGTTCGCCCTAACTACTTAACGGAATCATTGTACTAATCTTTCTTTCGGCTTACACATTTACGGTACAGGACTCGTTTACAGCAACCACAAGTTAAAAACCACACACATGATCACTGAACAGCTTATTTCCCATACACTGAGAATAAACATCCAAGAAAGGATACAGAGAGCACTTTATTTATATGAAGTACCTTTCTTTAAACCAGGAGAAACATCATCACCAATGAAGACAAGAGGGATATCAACCTTCAACAAAGTACCCGGAGGCGCTCTTATAAATGTCACATTCAACGGTGCATCAGTTCCGCTATGCAAATGAATCTGAAAAGTCAATACACAACTAATAAGCAAACACAAACATAGTAACCAAACACAACTCATGTTCCAAATCATGTCTCAATCAAGAGAAGTAACATTACCGATCTGGGCAAGGCTCTGACTTTCTCAACGACCTCATCAGAACCAATCTCAGACCGAACCTCGACATCGAAAACCCTAGAGAGAAAAAAGGAGTAACCCATATGAGTCACGAGCTTCCTGATCTGATTGGTCTGAACTGAGACAAGCCTCTTGTTCCCTCCGTGCTGTCCATCCTCCTGTTCGAATATGATCGAAGGCACTCTCCCCGCTTTACGCTCTTTCGCAGATATGTTCTTGCCGGAATCAGACCGTGGAACGGCTAAGATCGTCTCTGCGTGCTTCGGATCGGGTCGAGGGAATCCAGGGAGGTAGTCTAGTTCGGTTTGGTCTAGCGGTAATGCGGAGGTGGCCGCCGGGGAGTATAGCCGGAGGTTTTGTAGGGTTTTGGGTAATACGGCGGTTGCACGACGGAGCAACATTTTTCAGTCTTGACAGGGAGAGGAGACAGCGAGTGGGTTTAGGAACTGTGTTGCAGAAAGGTGGGGTTTCTCCTGCGAAACGCTGTCGTTTTTGGAGATTTTTTAATGGGCCTTGTTAAAAAGTTTTATGGGCTTTTTTATGAGATTCAGCTTAGTCCATTTTATGGGAGAACAAAGGGGGAGAAGGTCAACAGGTAAACTTGATGATGGCATGGTTCAACGGATATTCCATAAAGATGTTCTTTTGTATCCCCCGGCCTATTTTGTAAATGACCATTTTAGCCTTATCGTGTACCAAATGGTTTTCACACAACTGGTTTGGTTAGTGTGATAGATAGATATATCATTCAATTTTTTAATAATTTCTTTGATTTGTAAAGTTCATTAGGATGCATGTAAACTTAATCCAAACTATTTATTTAGCGTTGACTAGGAGAGAACACGAACAGAAATTTAAGCAATCAAAATATCAATAGGAAAAATATATTTTGAACCGGACGTTATTGTCGGTTTACACCTTAAAGGACTAGTGGTATGAATTTTGCTAAGGGTAAAAACGTCATGAAGAAAATATAGCCTTGCATCATGAGTCTATAAGCTCCTCGTCTTTGCTCTCTCGACCAAACATGGAAAAACATTTCTCTCACGTCTCAGTATCTGATTCTTTGTAGTCAAGGTATTATTTTTTGTTATGACCATCTTCTTCGTCCTATCACCTTCGTCACTTGATTTATTGTTGCTGTATAAAATCTAGTGTTTATACTCTTTTAAGTTTTCTTTGTTGTTAATTTCTACCAGGAAAAAAATGAAGAAGCATCGGTCAGCTTCACAAAACACAGATGGGGCTGAGGACGATGAAGCTTCTGTATGCGTTTTCATTTCGTCTTCCATGTGCAGGGTAAACTCATTGTCTGTTATTCGTTTCTCAAGTGTCGAAAAAATATTTTCATTTTGATCATTGTTTCGGTATGCAGTTACGGTTGTGTCTTTGATTCCGGTTTCTATGATCAATAATTAATCCTTTAGACCTAAGGCCCATGTGAAAACTGATACTGGGTTTGATTAAAGGTTGAATAATCATTTGTGCTTTATTGGGCCTTCTTGTCATTATTATACATTGTACAAATTTACAAGTTTTCTCTGGCAATAAAGAAAAATAAAACTATATAAGTACATCTCAAAAACACCAAGAAGGACAAAACAAAACCTGTTTCCTACCTACTAATTACTTGTTTAATGTTTACATACCCAATTTTCGTTTATCATATACTTATTTGTTTACTGTAAGTACCTGAACAAACTATATAATAGTATAAATTTATTACTATAGAAATGCTGTTTTGTCATTTCGCAGACAGAAAAAACGTGACTCATGTACGAACAGCTGAATCTCTCTCACGTGTCCCACGACCAAGGGATTCAAAATCCTACAGCATCTTTACTTGAGCCGCGTGACACCTAAACATCACCCAATTACTTAAGCTTAAACCTCTGCCACGTAAAACGTCCTTAACGACGGGGGACCGTTAACTCTGACGTCGTCACAGGTCTCGATTCCTTCATTAAAAATGTTTCTGTTCCCATCACTTTCCCTTTTGGCTTTTTTTCTTTTCCCCCAAGGCCATGGCCCTAGTTAAGTCACCAAACCAACGGCTCAGATCGTAAATATTATTTCAACGGACGAGACTAAATCTAGAAATTATTATATTTTCTATTTGAAGGGTATTCTTCGAGATATTTCTCTCAAAGGTGTAGCTTGAAAGGTGTGAAAAAAAAATAGAATCGGAGAAGATGGCGGAAGAACAACACAAACACGAGGAAACTGTGACGACGGAGCCAGCTGTGGAGATTGTGGAGAGGGAATCGTTGATGGATAAGATATCGGAGAAGATCCACCACGGTGGTGATTCTTCTTCGTCGTCTTCATCGTCTGATGACGAAGACGACAAGAAGAAGACGAAGAAGGGTTCGGAGTCTCCGTCTTCCATGAAATCGAAAGTTTACCGCTTGTTCGGAAGGGAGAAGCCTGTGCATAAGGTTCTCGGCGGTGGAAAGCGTATGTTTTTTTTTGCTCCGATCTGGTTTTGCTTTTTTTTGTGTGATTTGAATCTGATTTTTTAGGATCTGGGTTTGCTTAAATTTGTAGTCTTATGTGTAAAGTTTCATCCTTTATTATGTTTTGAGTGATTTTTTAGGATCTGGGTTTGCTTAAAGTTGTAATCTTTTGTGTAAAGTTTGGTGCTTTATGATGTTTTAAGTGATGGGTCTTTTGTGTTTGCAGCGGCGGATATATTCATGTGGAAGGATAAGAAGATGTCTGGTGGTGTGCTTGGTGGTGCTACAGCCGCATGGGTTTTGTTTGAGTTGATGGAGTACCATCTTCTCACTTTGCTTTGCCACGTGATGATTGTTGTGCTCGCTGTTTTGTTTCTTTGGTCTAATGCTACCATGTTCATTAACAAGTGAGTTTATGATCACAATAAAGTTGTAATATGATTCGTTTCTCAAATGTTGATGATTGGTTGTTTCTCTGTTAGGTCGCCACCAAAGATTCCTGAAGTTCATATCCCTGAGGAGCCTATCCTTCAGCTTGCGTCTGGGCTTAGAATCGAGATTAACCGTGGATTCTCTTCTCTTCGTGAGATAGCGTCTGGAAGGGATCTCAAGAAATTTCTCTGTGTAAGTCTAACCGTGATGAGTAGAAGCTTTGTAGGATCTGTGATCCTGATTTTTAACAACAATATGTTATTGGATTTGAATAGGCTATAGCCGGCTTGTGGTTTCTATCAATCTTGGGAGGCTGGTTCAATTTCTTGACATTGGCATACATAGGTAACTGCTTAATCTTTCCATAACTCGTTAATGGTTTTGCTTCTCTTCCCTGATGGCTAAATCTCTTTATCTGCTGCAACAGCTCTTGTGCTGCTCTTCACGGTTCCTCTTGTATACGACAAGTACGAAGACAAGGTGGACCCATTAGGTGAGAAGGCAATGATCGAGATCAAGAAGCAGTATGCAGTGTTGGACGAGAAGGTGTTGAGCAAGATCCCAATGGGACCGTTGAAGAACAAGAAGAAAGATTAGGTTTTTACTAAATGGTGATTGAGTTCGTCAGATAGCAAGAAAAGGGTGTTGTGAAATGGTGTTGAAGCTTTACGTTAGATCTATTTAATATGTTATGTGAATGACCGTGGAATTTCCCCGCTTTGTTTTTTTTTTTCGTTTTTGTCATTGTTGGTGAACGTGGAGGGATACAATTAGTGTTGGTTCTTTTTCTCTCCAAACCTCTATATAACTATTTTGAATCTTCAGTTTTGCAATTTCTTGTTTGGATGCTTTTAATATCGTTGTTTCCGATCATCACCTTTTTACCGTGTTGGTCGGAATAT